TTGATCCGCTCCAGGAATGCAAAAGTCCTTGAGATCCTTGTTCTCCTTTTCATAGCTAATAATACCAGACATTCACAAGTGAAGTTGCTCAGTCGTGTCTGACTCTTTGTGACCCCATGGACTGTAGCCCACCAGGCTCCTCCATCCATGGGATTCTCCAGGCAAGAATACTGGAGTGGGTTACCATTTCCTTCTCCAGGGGATCTTCCCGACTCAGGGATCAAACCCAGGTCTCCTGCATTGTAGGCAGACGCTTTACTGTCTGATCCCCAGGGAAGTCCAAACATTCACAGGATAACATCAAATAAAGCAACTGGGGGCTTCCCTGGTGGTTCAGTGATACAGAATCCACTGTGCAACGTAGGAGACATAGGTTCGATCCCTGATCCAAGAAGATCCCACGTACCACGGAGCAGCTAAGCCCGTGCAGCATAACTACTGCGCCAGTGTGCCTGGAGCCTTGCTGTGCCACGAGAAGCCGGAGAGCCCAATGAGACAGGGCCCCGCTCGCCACAGCTAGAGAAAGCCTGTGCACGGGAACAAAGGCCCAGAACGGCCAAAACACAAAATAGATAAATCTTTGAAAAAAAAATAAAAAGAGCAATCAGGCCCACATCCTCCACCTACATCTCGAGGAAAGACCAAAAGGTGGAGAGAAGCCTCTGCCGCAAACCCGCAGATCTCAGCTGAACCCTCAAGGCTATGCCTTCCTGCCGGAAGTCAGTGCTCGGGGCGCTGTGTCCAGGGTCCATGGTGGACTCTGAGGAGCCAGAGAGAGCCTCCTCCATGAGAAGACGGGTGCTGGGCCTCTGAGATCATCTACTCCTGCAGCGAGAGAGCACGATCTGCAGAAACTCGCAGTCCAGGCCCAACCCTGGCCACAAGTTCACCTGCAGACACCTCTGCACAGCTGAGGCCATGGTCAACCTCTGACCTCCTGAGGCCTAAGTCTGCCGGGCTCCCACCTCCCTGTGCAGCCGCCAATACCCTGGGAGCAGGACATGGACTTTGTAAAGAGGTCCCAACCCCCGACACCGCCACAGCCCCCAATCTAGCAGGCAAACACATCACGACTCCTGGGAGCAGGGGCCCAGCCAGGGGTCCACCAATCATGGCCTGAGTCCAGCCCCACCTGTTACCAGAGGGGCCTGAACAGTGGCCCGGGTACTGGGCCCCCCGGTCCTGTAAGCGCTGGGGGGACGTATGGAGACCACTCCATTCACTGGCTTCTTTCTAAAGCTTACTATCAGCGGCTTCCTTTTACTGGAAGAAGGGTATAAATTTTTTTTGTCCCTGCCTCACGTGGGATCTTAGATCCTGGACCAGGGATTGAACCTGTGGCCCCTGCAGTGGAAGTGCCAAGTCTTAACCAGGAGACTCTCCAGGCGAGTCCCTGCTGAGCTTCCTTTTGTGACCTCCAGATGACGAACTCCTCGGCCAGGTCAGAAAAGGGAAAATAACCCAGAAGCAATGTGTCCTAGACCTTGGGTGGGCTGGCCAGATGCAAACTGCTCGAGTGCAGACGGCTGGGGCCAGGGAGGTCATTCCGGTGGAATGATGTGCAGTCGGATTTGGTACCAGCGTACAGCTTTACTTAATCTTATCCCAAATTAGAATACACTCTGAAATATTCAGATAACTTAAAGATGCAGCAATCAGCTGTAGCTTCATCAGGCTTCTGGGAGCTAAGACCTGGGCGCAGCACAAAGGTCATGGATATCATTAAAGTCATCAATTGTACCCAAAACCGAGAAGAAACCATGTCTGAAACACACTGACTGGGAGGCGCGGCCCTTGGGTCGCTGAACCAGAACAAACAGAGGCGTCATCACGCGCCCTCGCCCTCAGGAAGTCAGTTCTGCAGTAGGGACTCTCCTGGGTCCAGTGGTTATGACTCCGCACTTCCACAGCCGGGGGCGCGGGGCTGGTCCAGGAACTAAGATGCCCCAAGCCTCGGGACACGGCTAACAAAGAAATAAATCAGTAATGCTCAGATCACAACAGTTTCATCTGCAGGGATTTAATTCAATGCTGCTGCTGTCAGAAACAGCGCGTCTCAAAATGCTCTGCCTTCCCAGACCAGCTCCTTCCAGTCCTTTCCTCATGTAACCCTGCCCCTTGAAGTCACATCCAGAGATTGTGCTGGGCACAGAGACAGCAACGAGACCTCAGAAGTCGGGACTCTCCACCAGCCCATTCCAAAGGGAGAACAAGCTCCCTGAATGCATGCAGCAGGCCCTGGGTAGGGATGACGCCCTCACCGGGGCAGGAGCTCCAGAGCATTTGCTTAAACCAACAGAGGCTCACGCTTGAGCGCCTCCAGGACAATGACGGCCCCTGGAAGCCACCAGCGGGAGTCAGTCCACGGCCATCTCTGCCCTCTCTGCCATGGCCAGGGGCAGCGTCACTGTCAGCGCCGTGGGCGGACCTGCTTATTCTTATCCGAGGATAGGAGAGGGGAGCCCTCCCTGGAAAGGCCCCCCATGGCCTGGCTAACCAATCAGACAGACAGGCTTCAGACGGGTCACCTGCGACTCCTCTGCATCTCTCAAGCTTCAGGAGCAGAGCACCATTCTATCCAACAACACTGTTGATTCCACAAACATGACTCCTTCTGTGGCAGAAACTGGGAATCATCTTTGACCCCGTGGGCCTATCAGACGCTCCACGCAGAACAGAAGGCTGTGCGTGCTGGAGGCAGTGATCCCACGGGCCCCACGTTCCTCGGGAAGAGACCCACACCGCACACATCTCGTTAAAAAGTTCCCTTCGCTGGCAGGATAGACGTGGACGTGCCCAGAGGGACTGTCTGCTCCCATGGGGGCAGCGATGATCTGTCCTGATAAGCCGCCCATCCCAGACCTTGGAGCCTGTCACCACCAGGCGCCCGGCCATGCAGCCCGAGACCCGCTGACACCGGGTGCCGCCCCCTCCCTGCACCAGTCCCTGGGCACGCACGGCAACGTCCGAGGGCAGGAAGTGTGGTCACTACCCCCCAGGGCAATGGCACGACCTCTCCCTTCTCCAGCTGGCCCCTGGCGCCCGTGGACAGGACAACACGGAAAACATTGCCAGGGACCAGGAAACATATTTTGATGTGGAACCAAAACAGTGGGAAAAGTTGACTTCAAGCCCGAGAGGAAGTGTGGGGCTTGTTGGCGCGAGCTCACAGGAGCGCTGGGGGCGGCCACCCAAGGGGGCCTGGATCAGGAGACAGAGCAGGGCACTTGGCCCGCGGAGCTGTCACCAAGACCCCCGAGCAGAGACGAGGCAGCACTGGTGCTTTCCATCACTGACAACCCCTCAGAACCATGTAAGTTCCCACAGGCACCCCACCACTGGGGCTCGGGAAAGCTGCCCCGTCCACCCGGGGTCTCAGGCCGAGCCGCTCCCCTCAGAGGCTCCAGGGTGGAGTCCTAAGCAGAGACAGCAGAAGACCCCCGCGCCTGCAGGCTCAGTCTTTACAGGGGCCGTCAAGTTAGGGCGAGCCCCCGGAGCGGTCCTGTCCAATGACCACAGAAGGAGCTAAATGCCTGGACCGTGGGCTCCAAGCCCCAGACCGCGAGGAAGGCACGTCTGCTGTTTAAACCGCCCCATCAGTGGGGCTAGGTCCCAGCAGCTCCTGGAGATACAGGATCATGGTCTCCTCACAAACCCTTAGGACCTTCACGCCAATGTCACCATGCAAGTTCACTGAAGCGTCGTTCTAAACTGGAGAAGGGTGCTTTGATATATTCTTTTTTTATTTAAATAATAATTATAAGGAGAGAATGAATAAAAATTCTTACATTTTAAAATGCCTCCAAATGGATTTTTTTAAACTCCCAAATTCATGAATGAAATCCCGGTTCCGAGATACACCTGACAGTAATGTAACTTTGGAAATGCCAGCTTTTTCAACTTTATGTGGATGCGTCGTGAAGCCAGTCGAGACCCATCACGGCCCCCTTGCCCCCTGGCTCTCGACTGCTACCCACGCCAGCAGAAAGGAAGTGTTCAGCTTTAGAAATTCACCCTTCACACCGCTTCTTTGCCACAAGCTTCTGTAAAGGTTTGGCACCGAGAACTAAACTGTCCACTTACAGCTCTGACTGCATCTTTAGTTTAGAAAAAAGGGGGTTTCTGAACAAAACACAGAAAGCTCTGTAACAAGTAACACCCTGATTCACTCTCCTCAAGGTCTGGACAGGACGACTGGAAGCCACAAGGCCCAACATGCAGTCCTGCCTCCAGAACCAAACAGGAGAAGCAACAAGCCTGCAACACTCGAAGCCACAGGCAGAAGCTTCCTCCCGGGAGGCGGCCACAACCCTCAGCAGAGCATGGGCCTCCAGGGAGGGCCTGTGCGCATGGCCGACACCTGACCAAAGTCCTGGGGCAGAAAGCACTCGGCTAGGGGTCATTAGTGGTCCACCTGCTGGGAAAGCTGTTTAGTTAAAAATAAAAACCCCAGGCTGAGTGAATGGACCCAATGGAGCAGCAGCAGCAGCCCCAACACTGTTAAAAAGAAAAATCAACAGCCCAAAACATGGCTTGGAGGAGCTGGGGCTCCTGCCAGGCGGCGGTCTCCGAGGAGAGGGACCGTGTCGCTCCCGAGCCAGCAGGGCTGGTGCAGGCACAGGCGGGCTGCTCCGGGGAATTGTGAGCAGGGCCCCATCTGCACCGACCGTGCAGTGACAGCAATTAGGTGTAGCAGGGGAGGTGAAAACACAGACGGGAGCCGCGCCTGGCTTTACAGAGAGCAAGACAAAAACCAAGCCCGAGTATTCGAAAACCCCAAGACGGCCGAGAATGTGCCCGAAGGTCCCCCTAGCACCGGAGAACACAGCTTCGTCTGGACACCGGCCTTTAGGAAGGAGAGAACGCATGAAGACGAGGTCTCTGGCCCTCAGCCAACGTGACCAGGTCCTGAGAAAGGGAGATTCAGACACAGACACAGGCCGGAGAAGGCAGAGGGATGCCGGGAGGCTGCAGCCCTGCCCGCCCACCCGCCCGCTCACCTGGTGTAGGACGCGGGGGACCGTGGCCGGGCCCATGGGTACGGGTGCTGCGGCACTGACAGGTACTGGTCGCAGAAGGCGCCCTTGCGGATGTGCTGGAAGGCCGCAAACTCCTCGGGCTGGAAGTCAGGCGTGGGCGGCGTGGCCCCCAGGTCCTCGCCCGCCGGCTCCACCTTGAGCGCCACCGCGGGCGAGTGGTCCAGCGTGGTCTTGCGGGCCTTGAGCGGGACGCCATCACCCAGGTCCAAGCTGCCGTCGGTGCTCAGGGCGTTGATGGCGGCCACGATGGCGGAGCTGGTGTACTGCGTGGTGTTACCCAGCCACGTGTCGTCGGTCACGCTGACCCGCGGCGAGCCCTGCGGGGACGGCGTGGGCGAGGGGTGCGGGGAGCAGGACAGCTGCCGGCCATTGAGCCCGTACTTGCGCTTGTTGCAGGGGGATGAGGGCCTGGACGTGTGGGCCCCCAGCCAGCTCTCCTCAGTGATGCTGGTGCGGGGGGAGGTGGAGGGCGAGTGCCGCGGGGACCCGAGCAGGCCACAGGCCCCCAGGCCGCGGGGGAAGCCCTCTTCGGGGTCTGTGGTCTTGGGGGACACGCAGGGGGACTGCCAGGGGGACGTCTGTGGGGACGCGTATGGGTACGAGAAGCTGGACTCGTAGGACGAGGCCTCGGAGTTGCAGCTGCGGGAGGACAGGCTGCTGGCGGGGCTCAGGCAGGAGGGGTCGCGGTAGGCCTCCAGGCTGGGCAGGTTCAGCGTGGCGGTGGACGGGGACCGCTTGGGGAGCACGTCCTCCACATCCACCTCATGCAGGAAGGAGCTGAGCACTGGGACGGGCCCCCACCCGCCCCCCGATCCCGTAGGCCACTGAGACAACCCTGCTGCTCATCCACCCTGGCCTCATCCTCAGGCCCCGCTCCGGCTCTCTCCACTCCTGGTCTCACACTTGGTCACGCACCCGCTGGGGCTTCCATCTGCCCACACATCCTTCCTGAAGAGCCGCACGCTGGGCCCCTTCTTTGTGCTTCTTCTACTCAAACACTGCCTCCCCCAACCACCCTATCCCAATCCCAACCCCCCAGCCCGACACGCATGTCACCCTCCCCCACTTTATTTTCCCTTCGTAACGTTGATCATCCATCATATCTCCCACCAGAGGAAACCACGGCTCTCAGGGTGGGGGCATCAGAGCCACCCCAGTGCGCCCCGTGATCCACTCCTGTCTCCAGTCCAAATGGTGCTGATTTGATCAATTAAATGAACAGATGGATGGGGTTTAGACCCAGGGTGTCAGACCCTGTAACAGACTGATCACCAGAGACAAAGAAAGCTGAGGTGAACGCACAGATTCCGGGGTCTCTCACACAACCTCTGATAGTGACTCGGGGCCCAAGAATCTGTTCAAAAGAGAAGCGAAGTGTAGGGTATCGATGCACAGCCATAATTTAGATCTTTACGGGCTAATTATAACCTCAGTAAAATATGTGTAAAAAAATCATTACTAGTGTAATTAGTCACTTTTAGCAGCAAAGCTACACGCCTGGACTTCCGATTTGAACAGACGGTTCATAACTGCTGCTTCCTCGTGACTGCAGCCTGGAGCCAAGTCTCCCAAGGTCTCTGAATAATGGAGCCACTTGAGGAAACCCTACACCACCTCCCCGGCCCAGCACACCGGCCCAGAGATGCTTCAGCCAGCCCCCAGGCTTCTGAACCTGCCTGGACAGACCCCAGAGATCAGGGACCTCAAAGTGCAGGCTCAACCACCACAGATTTACCAACGGCAACGGGTCCAGCTCCCCAAATCGGGGAGATCTATTTCCATCCTCGCTTATCTCAGGAGTCTGCGACTACCCTCTGGTAACCCAGGCCCTTACCATCCTTGCTAGTGAGGAGCTCCAGCTTTTACACTCTGAAATACCATCCCATCAAACCTTGTTCTCAGCTGCCCCCCAAGAGGGCAGGCCGGGAGAGCACGCAGGCCCGCCCCGAGGGCCTCGCAGGCAGGCTGTATTTCGAGAAGGCGTCCAGATGCTCAGAGTTGCTGCCGGAATCTAAACGGCCCCGGAGCGAGGCTGAGCAGGACGAGAACGGGGAAACTGCAGCTGAGGGAATTGAAGCTCCGGGGGGGGAGGAGGTGGGGGATAAGCGGATCTGCAGACACCATCCCCCACCCTGTCGTCCCAACCCCCACCTGCCCCCACGCTCCCAAGGGGGACGGAGGGACCCTCCTGGGGCTGCTGGGCGAAGCTGCCCTCAACTCCTCACACCAACACCCGCAGGCTCACTGACACTTCAACACAAAAATCATGGTGAGACTCAGATTGCCATCTTTGTAAAAACCTCCAGGAAGTTAACAACCCTGCAAAGGCATGTCCAGAAGAGACGGTCAAGACTTCTGAGAAGCAGCTGGCCGGTGGGCTGCAGGTCAGGCCACTGAGGCCCTGGATGAGGCTGCCCACCCCGCAGGGAGCCCTCAGGACAGGTGTGGAGGCACCCACCTCAGCCTGGGTCGGCAGAGGCCCTGGACACAGAGGGGCTGGGGCAACAGGTAGGGCATCTCCCATAGGAGGCCCCGGGGCCCCTTGGAGGGTCGACCCTCAGGGCAGGACCGACTGGACAGTGGCGTCAGCCGGAATCCTCACTGCCACAGGAGCCTAAGCACGGCTCTGTGCTCCTTCCCAAAGGCGTCCAGCAGGAGCGCCCGCAGGAACAAGGACCCCTCTGGCCACAGTGGTGCAATCTGTATGGACGTCCCAGCCACGTGCAGACCTCCCGCTCGGAGGGTCCCCTTCACCACCCAGATCTCCAGACCATTCTGACCAGAGCTGCTCGTTCAGAAAACAAACAACTGTTCCCAGCGCTGGTGAGGCTTCAGGTAAGAAGTCAGATGTCGACCAGTCCAACCGAAAGCAGGCCGGCCGGCCAGGATGCAGTGTCCAGCAGCACCACCTGGACTGTGAGACGTGATGAGGACCGTGATCGACGAGCGGAACAGTAACAGATTGCATTAGCCGTGCACACGGCAGGGATTTCTCAGCAAGGGGCTATGCTGTGTTCAGCGTGTCCCCAGACCACCGGTGAGTTACAGAGGCAGCGCAGGGGTCAGCGAGGACTGGCCTCCTCCCAGGCGGGTCCTCTGGACCACCGGTGCTGCACCTGGCTCCATCTCAGGGGTGGGGTCACCCACCCTGGCTCCTGCTCCCCGCCCACAGCCCACATACGGGCCCCTCTGCCAGCGTGGTGGTCACACTGTGCCCTGAAGCAAAGGGACAGGCCAGCCTGGCCCAGCACCCGCGGGGGCCCCTCCCCAGGGGCAACAGCTGCTAGGCGAGCGCGCTCCAGTGCCTCCGTGACGTCCGTCCTGGAGGCGGCCCTGTCCGGTGGCCGGGACACTGCGCGGGCCCCCAGGTAGACGCGGCCCCCAGGCCTAGCTGCCCCAGGAGGAGTCACTGTGCCGCAAACCGGACCCCTCGCTCCGGGGCCACTGTGAGACTTTAGCACTCAGCGACGGGACTTCACTTCAAAGACAAGTTGCCAACTCCAGGAGGGGAGCCCAAGCAGGAGGCTGACGGGAAGTGCACACAGCGCGCAAACTAGGCGCAGCGGGCTGGCAGGCCACCCTCAGCTCCTGGAGCCCACGGGGTCTTGACAGGGTCTAGAGAACAGATCCCACGCATCCTGCTCAGCCAAACAATATGATGCAAATCTGTCATTTATTTTAGGACTTACAGCTCATCTGACCCCTGAACTACCATTTGTTGGCAGGAAGGTAATTTTAAGAATTAGAAGAAAAATCCTGCAGTTGGCAGAACAAGTCCTGGCCCCACCACCACCTGCCCACAGGACTCCACCACGGCCCATGGCCCGAGGGGGCGACTGGTGCAAGGGTCAGACCCCCAGACCTCCCAGGAGTGTCACTGTTTAACCCAGGTCTGTTGAGAGCCACGGCTCAATGAGGAAAAGACAGGCATGAGCCTTTACTAGAACACAAACAAGACCCCATACGCACGAGTTTTCCTTAATTAAATAAATTATGAAGCGAAACCCCTAAGTGCCTGAACTTTGTTCTGAGCTCAGCCAGCATCTGGGATGAAGACCTCTGTTGCAGGACGAAACGCCCACAGGTCATTGCCAGCCTGCCCAGGCCTGCCTGCCCTGGGGGGCACCTCCCTGTTCCCCGCCCCACTTCCACCCAATTTGGGCTTATTTCGCACCTGAACCATATTCAAATCTGAGTTCTTTAACTATTCAAAGGGATTACATTTACATGGGATGAAAATATTTTCAGTGACTTTCTTAAAATCCTGAGATGCCCAGGCTGATTCACGTCATGTCAGGCGGCACCGAAAGGCTCAGCACCCACAACACACACTTTCTGCCGCTGCCTCTGGAGCCTGGCTGCCCGCCAAGGAGGGTCATTAACTCTCAGCGCAGGAGTCTAGGCGAATACCAGGGAGAGCCTGTTCAAAAAGCCTTAACGTAACGGACATTCATGAAACTGTGTCTCATCTCTGAAGACAGCCACAGCCCCGCCTCCAGAGTGCCGACCCCGTCCTCTTGGTGAACACAGAGCTGGATGCCAGCGTGGAGCCAGGGGACAATGCATGGCTCCCGGTCCATCCAGCGCCCACGGCGAACTCCACCTGCAGCACGTCCAACAGGTCAGCATGGGCAGGAGTGTTTCCTCTCATTCTGAAAAACCACTGATTCTAGAACCATTCAATCATGCTAGGTCTGAACAACCAGTACTCTGCCTGCAGTGCAGGAGACCCTGGTTCAATCCCTGAGTTGGGAACATCCCCTGGAGAGAGAAGGGCAACCCACACCAGTATTCTTGCCTGGAGAATCCCATGGACAGAGGAGCCTGGCCAGCTACTATCCATGGGGTCGCAGAGTCAGACACGACTGAGCAACTAACACTTCACTGAATGATCACCAAAAAAAGTTGTCTGGTGTCTCTCCACTATGGCCAACTGCATCCCGGCAGGCTCCTGACTGCTCGGACCCTCCCTGCCAGTGAGGTCAGGACCCCTCACCCTTCCCGGGGAGCAGCAGGGACGCGGACACATGGCTGGCCGCGCTCCCCCCACACCCACCGCAGCTGCATCGTCACAGCACCTCACTCCTGTCGGTCACAGACCCTGAGAGGGAACGCGACATGCGCCTTCTGTTTTTCATTTTAAGGAACATCCCCTTCAGCATTTGCTGGGGTTGAACCGCAGGACACAAAGCTAGAAATAGAACTGGAAGCAGCCTGGCAGCCAGGCCCGGCCTCCCCACGCCTCCCCAGGTCTCCTCTCCCGGGTGGCGGGTGTGGCCCCACAGGGCTAGATTAGAGCTTCGCAGGTAGTGGAGACAAAACAAAGCAAAACAAAGCCACTCCTCGCCAGGACCTTTCTGTGGGGAGCCGCTGACTGAGCAGGGGCGGCCAGGCCGATGGGTGACAGACACACAGCTTTGAGGGCCAGTCAGCCACCTGCAAGGCAGACGTTTCCAGAGGCAGAGCAGCCGGCCGTCTAGGCCTCCAGAGGCCCACGGCTCCGAAGCCCAGCCTCGAGCCTCAGGTCTTCCCGCTCCAGGCCCCACGTCGAAGGGGTCAAGACATCCCCAGGCCGACTCGCCCCGGCCGCTTCCTCCGACAAACTCCACGGAGGAGTAAAACATCCTCCGGACAAAAGACCCCAGTGGTGGAGTGTCTCTGGAGGTCTGAGCAAACCGAGGGCGTGGGCCCGCCGGCTGGAGGCGCAGGCGCGGCGCTCGGCCTGTGGCCCCGGGTCGGCCGGCAGTTGGGTTCTGGGCCCGAAGCCCGGCGGGCTCCAAGCAAGCAGGACACGTGGGCCTCTGGGGCCTCCACGCCACCACCGTCACTGAGGAGGGCACTGACAATAAAAAGTCCAAGTCTTCCTTTTCTCAGGAAACGTCCCCTTTCACGAAAGAACCGTGGCCCCCACTGCAAAGCAGTCAGGGCAGAGAGGGACCCGCCCCCAGGCCGCCAGGAGGCCCCGCCCATTTCCTCCTGAGTTGCCACGGTGACAGCCCCAGCTGGGCGGCCAAAATAACTTAGAAAACAGGAGCCCGGGGCGGGAAGCAGGGCCACGCCCGCCCGGCCCACAGCAGAGCAGCTATTTCCTGAGACCCAGAGGGAAGCAGCAGCAGGAAGCCCCCCCAGAAGGGAAGCCCCCAGCCAGCCTCCTCCCCAGAGGGGCCAGGGCAGCCCCTGTTGGGCAAACAACACCCTGCCCAGACCAGGGCGGGTTATTTTTAAAACTCTGCTTGCTTTCTTCCAACAAATGGTGACTATCTGCACCTGCCAAGCTCTCTGCACAGAAAGAACCCCAGCACCCACGGCCCCCTCGAACGCGGGGGTGTCACGCCCTCGAGCAAGAGGTGGCGTGAGCGACAGGTGACAGGTGAGAAGATGCCACCCTCACTCAGAATGATGAGGGCGAGGGGCCCTGTGGTCAGGGCTGGCCGAGTCCTTTTGAGAAAGTGCCCATTTTGGGCTGAGTATAATTACTTCCCAAGCTGTCACCTTGCTTCACAACCTCAGAATTGGTCATTCACTTATTTCTATCCAAGTTCATCCCAGAAATAAAGTGAAGTCGTGTGTCACCCATTAAGAGCTGAAGAATTTAATATAACAATGTAACCATTAACTTAATAATTGCAATGTAATGTTAGTAATTAATAAGAACAAGAAGAATGTACTTTATTCATAACTTCTGAAACTTAGAAGCAACCAAGATGTCCTTCGGTAAGTGAATGGATCAACTTGATCCATCCAGACAAGAGATATTACTCAGCACTAGACTCATCAAGTCAGGAAGAGGCCTGGAGGAGACACAAGTTGAGTGTCACTCAGTGAAAGGAGCCAATCTGAAAAGGCCGCACCCTCCGCGTCCAGCATCCCAACTGTAGGATGCTCTGGAAAAACTAGGGACACAGTGACCAGGTCAGTGGTTGGGGGCCAGGGAGGGAGGATGAACGGGGGCGGGGCAGTGAAAGTGCTCTGAATGACTCCACTATGGTGGACACATGTGGTTACACATTCATCCAAACCCACAGGATTAAACACCCAGAGGCAACACTATGTAATCTACAGACTTTGGGTGATGGTGTGTCCATGTAGGTACACTGACTGTAACAAACGTCCCATCTAGGGGGGAATGTCAATAGTGGGGGGGCTGTGCCTGTGGGTGCAGGGGGTACACAGGAAATCTCCATACCTTCCTCTCAATTCTGCTGTAAACCTGCTCTAAAATAATCGTAATAAAAAGTAGGAGCGTCTCTCACATAAATAGATAAAAAGGGATGCTTTCTTCTAACGCCATGACAAGGTGAAGGCACCACCTCTTCTCTGCCCAGACCTCTCTCCAGCTGCCTGATGCCCCTCCACCAAGGCCCGATGAATGCTGGGCCCCGAGTGCTGGTATTCTGGAGGCCTTCCTGCAGGAGGCTTTCTTGGGACTGTGGTCCCTAGAGGCTGGGGTGGGTGGGGGTATACATTTGACAACGATGCTGAAAGAGCACCTTGAGAATGTTGCTCAACTTGCTGTCAGGGGAGCAGACATGCACAGAGACTGAGGGGGCAGCGGGGCCTTCCCGCCACTGCAGGGGACTCCCAAGCCCAGGCCTCTGCTCTGACCAGGCTAGCCTTCTGGGGCGGCAGAGCCTGAGGACACAGGATGTGCGTGGCACTCTGTCCTCACCCGGCTTTCACACCCTGGAGCAGTCGGGAGCAGTTCACACATCAGGCCTCAAACACATCTGCTAAGAAGACTGGAACGAGAGCTGGATACCGAGGGAGAAAGTCTGCTAGTGGAAACAGCCCAGACGGCCCAGCCAGAACCTGCGTCCAGACAGCCAAACCCAAGCGAGTACAGAAGGCCTGAGGGGCCCGCTTCTCCACCTCGAGCCTCACATCTGTTCAGAAGACTGCCACGCTCTCCCACCCCCGCCTGCCTTGGCTCCCGCCCACCCAGAGGCCTGGGGACCCCCAGCCCAGGAAGAGGAAAACGGAGGCCATCCAGGGAGGACTGATTCAGGCCACCTTGGCCTGGTTGGAACATTCGTGTTTTTAAAAAACGAGGAGGACGCTGCAGTTTTAAAAGAGGGGTGGTGAATGATACGGAAAATATTATACAGTCATCGCAGAGCTGGGCGCCCAACGGTGCCAAGCTGCTGGGCTCAGCTTCACCACTTCCCCGCCACGTGGGCAGGGCCAGAGAGAGTGTCCTGAAGACAAACAAGAAAGGAGGCCGACAGGGGACACAAGAGACAGGTGGGGGACCAGGCTGCAGGGAGGGGCTCCGGCCTCCCTCCACTTGGGGCGGCCTCCAGCTCAGGCCGTCTTCCTGCAAAACTGGGTGACTGCTCAACGTCTCATTCCTATTGGAGAGTACGCACCCGTCCCGGGGGCTGGAGGGTTCCTGCATCAGCTGCTTGTTTAAGTAGAACCTTTAGTTTTGACAGAGAAGAGAAAATGAAAGAAAGAAAAGGCCGGGGAACTCGGTGGTCGCAGGCCTGAAGGCTGGTTCCCCTGGGACTTTTCTTGGCCAGGCGGGAGGTTTTAGCCTTGAGGACAAGAGGAACCTGGAGGGCAGAGGTAGGGGCTCCAGGCCCCCGCCCCGCGGGACGTCCAAGTCCGGGGCCTGACTCCCTGTCCCCTGGCACAAGCAGCACCCACCGCGCCCTAAAGAGGAGGCCCCTCCACGGGACGGCGCCCGGAGCCTAGCGCATTTGGCTGGGCGACCCTATGACCCCAGAGGGCCTCCCCCGCCGCCCCGCTCTCCCCTCAGTTTGACCTGTTTTCTGCCCGGCGCCGAGGAGAGTGGAAGGGAGGCCGGGGGGCGCCACGGGCAGAGGGGCTGGAGCCCGACGCGCTTCCAGACAGGGCCCCTCCCGACCCGGATCCGCTGCCCGCCCCGCGCCCGGCCGCGCACCCACCTGCGGGGGCCGCGACGGCGCCCTCGTCGCTCTGGTTAAACTCGAAGAGGAAGTCAAAGTCGAACTCCTGGTCCTCCTCCAGCCCCGTCATGTTGGGTCGGGGTCGGGGGTCAGAGGGCCAGGGCCGGAGTCGGGGTTCGAGGACAGGGGTCCAGGGTGGGGGTCGGGGCTCGGGGTCCGAGTCCTAGGTCAGGGGTCCGAGGTCAGGGTCGGTGTCAGATTCGGGGTCCGGGGTCTCATCGGGTCTGGGGTCGAGGTCTGGGGTCGAGGCTGGGTCGGGCTCCTAGGTCGGGGTCAGGCTGGGGTCCGGGGTCGGGGTCTAGTGACGGGGTCCCGGGCCGGGCTCCGCGATCGGGCGCGGGCCGCGGGCACCTGTGGTCGCGCCGCCGGGGCTCGGCTGCGCCCGAGCTCGACCCGCTGTTTCCGGGTTTACATAAACAAGCGGCTCGCCGGCCGCCGGCTTCCGAGTTTTAAATAAACTCTCCCCGCGAGCAGGAGCGCACGCCTTTCACTGGTGTCCCGGCTCCCCGCGCCCCCACCCGTGCCGGGGGGCCCCCCAGGAAGCTCTCGGGGTCGGCCCTCCAGCGCGAGGGAGATCCCCGAGTGCCACCCGGGTCCGCGCTCGGGGGGTGCACTGGTGCCGGAGAGGGGGCACACTAGGTCTCCGGCCACTTCGGTCCGCCCGAGAACCCATGCGGCGGGTGCCAAGTGGACAGAAGCTGGGGGTGCGGACGGAACCAGGCGGTGGATCCCCTCCCACCCGCAGTCTCGCTCGGGGAGGCGGGCGCAGCGAGCGGCAACGGCGGTTCCACCGGGGAGGGGCGCAGAGCCGGGGACGCGCGGCCCGGACCACAACGGCTCAGCTGAGCGGCCGAAGGAACCTCCGGGCGGCCGCCGGCCCCTAGGACGGGGAGCCCCCACCTCCGTCCTGCCGGAGCCCTGCAGGCCGGGCCGGCTCAGAACCCCCTGGATGGCAGGGCCGGCTTCCAGAGGAGCAACTTCTTCCCCAACCCGCATGCACGACACTGCGCTCCGGCCCGTGCAGCTCAGATCACCCCACCCCCGCCCGGAGAGTCAGGAGGTGGGAGGTCATGGGGACGCCAGGGTCGCGCTGCTGCCCGCGCCGGCCGCCTTCTCGCGCGGCCTGGTACCGGCAGGCTGATGCCCAACTGGCTACCTTTCCTTTTTGTACCCCGCTCACTTTAGTCCCTCAAATTTCCTGAAACACGCGTGCAAACGCCTGTGGGCCCACGAGTAGCCTGCCAACCATCCCTGAATCACCCCAGAGCTCCCCCAGACCGAGCGAGAAGAGGGGAGCCCGTGGGGGTGACACCCAAGGCCAGGGCACAGAGCACCGTGTGTGTACAAAGTCCGTGTACGAGCTAGGCCCGCCTGAGACCAGCCCGCCCCCGGCCCAACTGGACTTTCTCCCAGGCGTTCTGAATTCCCCGGGGTCTTGGCGCCCCGTGAAAGCAACATCTGGAAAAGCCCGAGAAAGGTGGTCAGGAAGGCGGGGGGCGGGTAGGCAGAGGATCGCCCACGGGGGAAGGAGGCGGTGCTCAATGGTCCGTTTCTGCGACTCGGCTGCTAATCCAGCCTGCCGCGTCCTCGCCTCGGCCCTGCAGTCCCTCGGCCCCTGGGGACTGCTTTTTCTGGAAGCAGAGAACCTGGGAATCACCTGACGCCCTCCCCCCCAACTCTTCTCTCTCAGGACCCTTTTCAAAAGGCTGGTTTTGTCCAGTGATAAACCATAGTTCACTTTGGCCTGATTTAGTTTCTAATAATAGTCCTAACTTAAGATGTATGTTGGAGGGCTGTTTTGTTTTAGTTTGCTTTTTTTGCTGACCTTCAGGCAAATGGAAGTTCTGTTTTCCGTTCAGAAGCCACAGCATTTCATTTTTCTCTTTTCGTTTTTTTTTAAGTTCAGCCACTTTCTCACCCCCGCCAAAAACTTACACACAAACCTAACAGCCTCTACCCACTGTTTACACTAAAACGTCTCTCTCAACTGTTCTGTCCTGGAGAAAGTGGGTTTACCCTTCCCGGTGGACCCGAGTCCCCCAGGATCAGGACTCAGGTCTGCTTTGTCCCAAGAAGGAGCTGATCGCCCACCAAGGTCGCCCGAGAGGGGGCCGTTTTCTAACTGGTCCCCTCACCAGCACCCCCAGTGCCTTGCGTCTTGTAAATGGTTTGGAGCTATTTGCCAATTCAGCAGACACTCCTGTCTTGATGGAAATGTTTAGCTTGGCGCTTCCTCTCAGCGGCGGCGGGTGTGCTCGGGGCCCAGGCCTCCAGCCCTGCGAGCGATGCGGCCACGGGGCCTTTCTAATCTGGATTAGGAGACGACGCGGAGCGAGGCGGCGAGAGAACAGGGCGGGCTTTGTTCTGTCCTGGAGCGCCCCAGGCATTCCGTGTGGAGCAACTTCTGAATGGGTGGTGGGCGTACCTACAAGGCCCGCATTTCTCTGCCTTCCCCACGCGGAAAAACAAGCACAGGGCCTTCCCGAACAACAGGCCTAATGAGCTTTGACCAGATGCTCATTTAACTGGAGGGGAAGGCTGGGGATTCCCTCAGATTCTCAGATGGGCAACCAAAGCCCAGGCCGGCCGGCGGGGAAGGCCAGATCCTTCCGCCAGCCCTCAGCAAGGCAGGCGTGGACCTGCAGACGGGCTCTGCCTCTCACACCCCGCTCCTGTCTGTATGAAGGATTAGATCATGCTTTCTTGTTGGCCTAATTCTGCAGTCCTGATACATGCACCGATATTTGTTTAGTCGAAGGGCATCACCGCGCCTGGCGAGCTGTCTCTGAGCTGTGTGGCACCTTAGAATGTATTCTCTTGTGTAGGAAACAGGACAAATAATCACCCCCTATAGATGTCTTTTCTTCTTGTAAGAGAAAAGAAAGACCCTTTATTGACGACAGACCACCTACTGCTCAAGTAAAGAGATCTAAACTTTGAAAGACCCACATATTTAAAAAGCAGAGGTAAGAAATATGTGGGGGAAACTTTGATGGAAAGTGTCCAAAGATGTAAAATCAAAATCTTGACAACTTGTAAAACTTTTCTGACAGTAAAAGAGCTCGTCCTGTAAGCATTATCTACTGCTTACATTTAAACATTTTCTAAATTGGCATGAAATGGTAAGAAACATAAGGTATATGTTAATATATACCTTCCCTTGATTAAAACTACATAGAAATAACATAAGACATCAAGGCCCTGACCCCCAAATGACGTTCTTACATTGAGTGTAGGGTCTTGAGCGTATTTTGCTGACGGTGAGAAAGTTCTCCAGAGCAGGCAGTCTTTGAAAACTGCAGTTGTGATGCAAGTGGGGCCGTCATATTTATTAGAATCGTGCAGGAGGTGGTAGCATTTAGTTTCTAGCACTTCCCAGAAGGATGTCTGCCCTTATAAAATATGAGTACTCATTACACATTGGCAGCCTTGGCAGTTTTCTTAAAATAATTTAGACAAAGTACTTCAGCGCTGATAAGGCGTTTCAAAAGGTGTCTCCGGCTTCCACCGGAACCCTGGCCCTGGTGGCCTCTCACAGCAGACTAGTCACCCCTTTGCTCCAGGCTAATTGGGTGGTGGGGGAGTTCGGGGGTGGTGGTGGCTGTTTCTAAGGGCGGGTGAGGGGCTATGGACCCGAGGCTGCACGCAGGAGGGTCACCAGCAGACTGTCAGTAGGGGTCTCGCCATCACCAGCTTCAGGGCAGACGCTTATGCCATCCTTGTGACTATGAAAAAGTATCTTGAAACTCGGCAGGCCCTTCCCAAACGGTCCTGAAACATCTACGGTTGGAACTCTCAAATCCACAAGATTGCAAACTGGTTTGAATTAGGGGCTGCGCTCCACCGCGCCTTTCATCGCTTTTAGTCCTGAGGTTGAGCCATCGGCGTGGCAGAGCCTCACGGAGCGGTTCCCGTGGCCCGGCGCCTGGTGAGAATCCGCCCCTGGCTAAGTTCGTAGAGGGGAGCAGAGATCCCCACCTCACTATACGGCTGGTCTTCGAGGCTACAAGGTGGCCCTGTCCCACCGGGGAAGAAACTAGGCCATCCCTCTTTCCTAAAGAAGCCTCAAATCTCCCCAAATGTCCTTCCTTTGTGGCTCTGACGGCCCTAACCTCGCCGGTCCCCAAGCCGCCTGCATTTGAACCGAGTTTCCACAGCGGGATCTGCTGAGCGGCTGCACCAGCGAAGGCCAAGTGCGCGCACTCAGCGCTAGAGAAGAGGAGACACCTATTGGCAAGAAGGCGCGCTCGAAATCAGGGCCGCTCTGGGGAAACACCAGGGGGACACCGCTTCCCAATCTTTGCAGCGCGCCCGCTGCGCGCCCGGCTGCCCGCGCCCCTCCCCGCGAGCGGACTCTAGACCGGCCTGCTCGCCCCTCCCCGGGCCGGGACCCAGCAGGGCGCGGGCGGGCCGGGCGCGGACCGGATGGGCGCGGGGCTCAGGGTGCGGGGCCGCCCCCACGCCTCGGGGGGCGCGGTGGGGGACTGCCGCTGCGCCCGCTTACCTTCCTCTGCCGATTTCATGGTGCCGCCGGCGGGCGCCGAGGGCCCCAAAGTTTCCCCGCTCCCGCAGACTGCAACCGGAGGGCCGAGTGGAAACTTGGAAGGGACTGGAAAACTGGTACTTGGCATCCACGCGGCGGCGGCGGCGAGCAGGAGGAGGAGCGGGAGAAGTGGGCGCCTCGCGCTGCCGCCCGGGGTCGGGTCTCCCGCGAAAGGCCCCCTCTCCCCCGGCCGACGCGCTCCGGCCGGGGCTCAGCTCAGCCCGCGCGCCCCGGAGAAGTGTGGTGGTGGTGGTGGGGGTGTGTGCGCGCGTGGCAGAGCCGGGTTGCGGCCCCGGGAGCCCTGCAAGGTGGCGGTGGCCGGGGCTCGGAGGTGTGCACCCGCGCCCGGCCGCCCTCCCCGGCGCGGTGACTGTGCCGGCGAGTTCGGAGTCTCTGAGTCTCGCTCTGACGCAGGGCCGCGCTCTGCCTCCTGCCTTTTTAAAGCTGGAAAATACCTCCCCCGCCTCCCCGCCGGCCCGGCCGCTCCCGCGCCCCCTCCCTGCCGTGACATCACGCCCCCGCCCGCCCGAGCCGGCGCTGGGCCCGGGGGACCAGCCGCCGAGCGGCCGCCCCTCCCCGCGCCTGGCCGCCGCTCGCCCGTCCCGCGGGGCGCATGGGGGGTGGACAGGGGCGCAAGCGAAGAGGCTGGAGCGCACCCGCGTGCGGCCCGGCCCGGCCCGGACGCCTGGGTTCACGCGGGTGTCCTGAGAGAACCGCACTGCGCTTTAATGAGGGGGGCGGGGCGGGGAGGGGGGCCGACGGGGGTGCCTAGAGAGCCCTGCATGCTGAAGTCATTATGTAAAATCGCAGGCTTCCCCCGCTGTGGAAATTTGGAAAAGCGCTTCCACTGGCAGGCCCGAGAAAGGAAATTCCCATCCCGCTAAATTACTAACAGATTGTACGGCAGTCCCGGGACGTGGAGTCACTGTCATTTTTCTTCTGTAAATATCTGAGCGACCCAGATTGCCTGTTGCACGGCTGGCTGGCGCGGGGCGGGCGGGGGGAACGTGGAGAACCACGAGCCTCTCCCCGGGCTCCCAGCCGTCGCCCCCGGCCGGCTCCAAGGGCCGGGGCGGTTTACGGGCGCGACTGGGGTTTCCAGCCGACGGGGGCTGGTCCTCTCGCCTCGTGGGGGAGGCCTCTCCCAGCGGCCGCTTCACTCCACTCTTTCCTTTTTCAAGCCCTGCTGCTTCTCGGTGCAGCTCGGCGGCCAAAACGGGACCATATTTTCGTGTTGGCCTTGGATGGAAGGGACAGAGTGTTGGGGAGGTTAAAATGTCTGGTGTATAAGAATCGTAAATCTATTGCACGACACCCTATGTGGGTTAAAATAAACCCAAAGCAGAAGACGTGTCTGCCGCAGGGACCAGGAGGCCTGCGGCTCGCGCGTGGGTGCCCCCAAAGGACTCCACGCCCGGCACCCGGGGAAAGGGGGGTGCCACGCTTGATCCAA